AGCTGGTTATATGTGCCAAAGGTGTTGGGTTTTTTTCTCATGGCTGTAGACTTTTCCAGAGGAAAAAAAGTTCTACTTTTGTAGTGTGAGCATTCCTGCTCAGATTTAATAATTCACCTTTTTATTTGTGGGTGATTTTGAAGAAATAAGGGAGAAATCAGGTGCGTTTCAAGTTTTTCTCTTTGATTCCTAGGACTTCCTAGATTTTTAATTTTAACAGTGGCCTGAAATGAGACTTCTAGGCTTCCCAGCTGCCTTGTACCGGAGGAATTTCAAATGAGAAAAAGCTGACTCCTCCAATTCTGGAGAATGAGAACTGCAGTTCCTTCAAGCGGAGTCCTCTGGAACATGTCCTGAGGGGGAGTGAAGGAGAGGAGAGAGAATTCTGACCAAGAAGTGGGGAGAGATGTTAGCGTTCCCTGGTTCAGAAAGGAGATCGACCTTGGATGCTCCAAAGCAGTGCTCATTTACCCTTTCCTATGTAGAAAAGCTGAGAGGATCCTCCTTTCTAAAGCCTGAATTGAAATGAAGTTCCCTTCTGCTTGTCCCAGAGGTTCGTTTCTTGAGGCCTAAACCCCGTTCCTGGCCCATTCACTTAGGTGCTTTTGAAAATTTACCCTAGGTGACTTAGGAGCATCCCCAACGCAACTCATAAGCATGGAGATGGCCTTGAATTTTAATCACACATGGAAGTTAGTTACTTTACAGTTAGCCTGTTGGCCCTGCTCACTCAAACAATTTGATAGAAATTCAGCCACGACAGTATAATGTGGAGGAACAGAAGAAAATAAGCAGCTGAACCTTGAACAGGCATATTGGGCCAAATTCTCTGCTAGTGTAACTCTGAAGCCAATGGAAAGTTAGACTAGCAGAGAATTTGATCCACTCTCTGTACTTTTTATCAGTGTAGACGTCAACAAAAATAAATGCATTTTCTGGAACATACTGGTGTCAGATTAGAAAAATAACTTACATGGATTTCATTGTAATTGCAGGTTGTTTCCAAAATGCTTTTTAAAGTGGCATTAGAAAGTATTGCAACATGTACAGTGCCATATTCTGAAAAGGGATGGATCCCTGCTGTGCGATTTTGCAGGTTTTCTATTACAAAGTACTAGTTGCTTGACAGAGATTGCTGTGTAAATTTTCCATGCTTTTTCAGTTTCATCATGTACTTCCTATGGTTTTCACTGCATGCAGTGTATTCTAGTTCTGTGCAAAGATAGGTCAGCCTGAGCCACAATGTTCAGATTTGAATTTCCTCTTAATTTAGGTGTTTTGTTTGGGTTCTTGACATAATGTGCTTGACATTGGGGCCTGAATTCTCAGCTGGCTGAAGTCAAACCTCCTTTTCCGTGGCCACAGTGTACACCCATATCATTTGCACTTGTAACTTTGCTCAAGCAAAATCAGTTGCAGGCACAAATTTGAGTACCTGCACTTGTTACTGCCTGATAGCACCTGCAGTCAGATACTTACAAGTGCAAGTATTCAAATTCGTGGAATAAAAAAATGTATACTCTAGCTTAACCAGAAGTTGTGGGCTTGATGCAGGAATTACTGGGTGAAATTCTCTTGCCTTTGTTATGCATGTCAGACACTAGATAATCATAATGGGCCCTTCTGCCCTTAAAGTCAAAGAAATTACAGGAGCAGATTTTGCAGACACAAATTGCATCGAAAAAAAAGCCACTATGTTCAAAGTTTGGCGAAGTACTAGTATTGGTTTATATCATGACATTTCCCAGTTTGTCACATCTGTCAGGTATTTACTGCAAGGTAGGTGCACAACTGGTTTCAAACTCATAGAGTTGTTATTAATGATTTGCTGTCACACTGAAGGACGCGTCTAGTGGAGTCCTGCAGTGGTCTGTCCTGTGTCTGGCATTATTCAATATTTTCATTAATAATTTTGAGAATGGGGCGGAGAGTATGCTTATAAATTTTGCGGACAACACCAGGCTGAGAGGGATTGCAAGCACTTTGGACGACAGGATTAGAATTCAAAATGATCTTATAAATTGGAGAATTGGTCTGAAATCAACAAGATGAAATTCCATAAAGACAAGGGCAAAGTACAACACTTAGGAAGGAATAGTGAAATATGCAAATACAAAGTGGGGAATAATTTGCTAGGCAGTAGTACTGTAGAAAAGGATCCGAGGGTTTTAGTGGATCACAAATTGAATATGAGTCAACAATGTGAAAAAGTTGTGAAAATATTCTGGGGTGTATTAACAGGAGTGCCTAGTGAAAAACTGGAGAGATAATTATCCTGATCTGCTTGGTACTGTTGAGGCCTCTGGTGGAGTATTGTGTTGCATTTTTGGGTGCCATGCTTTGAGAAAGAAGTGGACAAATTGGAGAGAGTCTAGAGGACAGCACCAAAAATGATAAATGTTTTAGAAAACCTGACCTATGAGGTTAAAAAAAATTTGGCACGTTTATTGGAGGGAAAAGACTGGGGGTGGACCTAATAACAGTCTTCAAATATGTAAAGGGCTGTTATAGAAAGTATAAAGATCAATTGTTCTCCTTGTCCACTGAATGTAGGACAAGAAATAATTTACGTAGTCTGTACCAAAATTAGGTTAGATATTGGGAAGAATTTTCTAACTGTGAAGGATGCTTAAGAACTGGAACTGGTTACCAAAGGAGATTGTGAAATCTCCATCATTGGAAGTTTTTAAGAACGGGTTAGACAAACACCTGTCAGGTATGGTCTAGGAATACTTGGTCCTTCCTCGGCAGGAGGGGTGGCGGGGGGGAAGGGGGAGAAGAATGCATTCTATGATCTTCAAGGTCCCTTAAAGCTGTATTTTTCTGAGATTCTATGAGCCTTTTCTGCCAGTGGTGAATAATTGCTCTAGGCTACCCTTTTTAATCTCCTAACAAAATAAGAAAATGTAATTGTTGAGCAGAGATACTTTTTGAGATGCTGTCAGCCAACCTGAGTCACGCAAAATTAAATTTGTGTAATAAAAGGCAGTGCGTGGTCTAATAATGTCTAATGACCATATATTTTGCATTTCAATTGCACCTTTCAGCCAAGATTCTCAAAGTGCTTTACAAACATAAACTCATATGAAACTCAGTAATCCTCACAAATACCTCTACAAAGTGATAGGTAAGGATTATCCCCATTTAACAGACAGGGAAACTGAATCAGAGAAGTGGAGTGAATGGCTTTATTTTACACAGGAGGTCAGTGGCACATCTGGGAATAGAATCTAGGCTCTTACTCTCAGTCCCTTGTTCTGTATTCCCTATGTCTTGTTATACTGAGTATAAAATAGCAGTTGAAATTTTCAGCTTAACAGCTGGTGATAAACTACATATTTATATCATTAGAATGTGTTTTTTTCTATATTCACTAGAGTAAGTCAGGAGTTTAAATCATTTCCTTCTGCATTGATTTCTAGCTTAATTGTGTTTCTGTTTAGTAACTTAATGTCAATTTCAAGTCTTACCCTTTGATGAATAACTAAGTCATTCAGAGTAATGCAATGTATTTGCAGCTCTTTGCATTTCATTCTGTGCTCATTGGCCCATAAGGACATTATCACGTTTGTTTTCATAAACCAAATTTAGAATAGCCTGAGTAATTGTTTTTGTCTTGTTAGATGTAGCGTAATTGAATAGGGTCATTGTAGATATTGTGAGCCCAGTTTTCAAACATGAGTACCTACATAGGATGTCCAAATCCCACATCTTTCAGTCATGTTGATACTTAGGTGCATAAATCCCTGTTTTTTGAATGCCTATATGCTGATTTCAACATCTTGGGCCAGATCCATAGTTGGTGCAATTTGGCATAGCTCCATTTATATCAGTGGGATTACTTACGCTAAAGCGCTTTCCTGGATCATGGCCCAAGTCTCTCTTCCCCGCCCCCTTTTGTTTTTTTTCCCCTCTTCCCATTCCTTTTCACAAAGTGAGTCATATCATGCCATCAGTTTTTAAGCAGAACTCTCTATTGAAATAACACAGTATGTCCCACTAAAATTAATTTATTTATGTGTTTTGAGATGACATTTCTCTTCCGTGCCTTTGATGATAATGTCCAGATTACTAAAATTTAGTCGAGGAAAATCCTGACTTCTGGTACTAGGATTCCCCCCCCATACACACATACACTTCCTGGCCTTCTGGCTAAGAGAGGTGAAAACATTATCTAGTATCTTTATTATGGCCCCTCACAATAAAATAATTAACATAATTTCTGTTTGATTCTTAGAGTTTACAAGACATTCAATAAGTGTAAAAGGAAGGGTAGGATTTGAGCAATATCCTTTCACATACTTTTTAAGGCCCTGAACCTGTAATTGACCACACGAGTGGACTACTGCCATATGCTCTGCCAGTTGCAGGATTAGGATTAGGAAGTGATATTTCAGTACATGACACCAAGTATCAGAGGGGTAGCTGTGTTAGTCTGTATCCATAAAAACAATGAGGAGTCCGGGGCACCTTAAAGACTAACGGATTTATTTGGGCATAAGCTTTCGTGGGTAAAAAACCCACTTCCGTCTCTGAGGTGCCACCCGACTCTTCGTTGTTTTTCAGTATATGAAATACTCCCAAACTATCAATGAATTGAGTTTTAAATAGAATAAAAGTTCAACATGGTAATCAAACCAGGCTTAGTAAAGCTCAGAGGCTAACTATTTGAATTGGATTTCAACCACTTAAGAGCAGGTAGTTATCCATACACTATATGCATAGATACTTGGTACTTAGCCTTACTATTTCATTAACATCAATATTCTTATCGTTGTTACATGCGTCACTGTTGAACTGAGTCCAATAGCTGTGTACATGTATTAATATAAAGGGCTCAGCCTATTAATTCTCAATTGCTACGGTTCTACACTGTGGCAAGATTTAACTTCCAAAAGAACTTGTTTTATGTAATAGAAAACAGAATCCTAGCTTATGAAATGTTAAGCTGTCTTTGTGTTTACGTCCTATAGAAAATGAGCCCCTCTCTTCTTTTCTAGGGTATATTTCAGAAATCGCTGGGTAAAGACTGTCCACCCAGTAGTGCATCAATACTGTTTGATTTCAAGCACACATTCCACCTTTCAGATGCCACAGAAAGAAGATATTCTTAGACAACGAGTAGTAGTTGTTACTTTGAATACTTCACAGTATCTATGTCAACTGGATCTTGAACCTGGTGAGAAGATTTCAAACAAGAAATATCTTTAAAATACTTTTGAGAAATAGTCTCCTTCAGTATTTTCCAGTGCAAGTCAAAGTGGCTCTTACATCTTTCCCCATCCCTGCCATAAATGAACCCTCTCAATATTCTTTTTGGTTTTCCCTTTTGGATCCAGAGACAAGAAGGAAAATATGAATCTTTGTAATTAGTGAATGTTACAGAGGTGTTAAATGTTACAATATAAATTTGTTGATATTCAGATTAGCCTCATTCTGAACTTTGTTTATTTAAAAAATGGGGATCATTTAAAAAAAAAGCCAACTTTAATGAAAAAAAAACCAGAATTGTCCATTATTTAGAGCTGATCCAGCATGGGAGAGATAGGGATGCTGAATATTTTATTTATCTCTTCTGTCAAACTTTGTTTCAGTGGAAACTGTTTGACCATTTCTACCATGCTTGCTCCAGGCCCTGATCCAGCAAAACACTGTGCTGAAGAGGGATTGATTTATGCACATGTTAAGTACTTTGTTGAATCAAGGCCTTTGGAATGATGTTAGTAGTGGTATCTTGCTTTTCCACATACAGTACATATTTTCGTATCTTTATCAGGTAATTTACTTTTCAAAACACCCACAAATCATTCTGTACTTTTTGTGGATTGTTTAGCTATGCAGACTCCCTTACCTCCCCCTTCCCCTCTCTCCGTATGCACATACACCTGCGGGCGCACACACCATTACATTAAAAAGAGATTCATTTGTTATTTCTAGATTATTTGATTTGAAATAACCTAGACTAATTCACTGGGGCAAAGGCTGCTTAGGGCCCATCACTTTCCTTGATCCACAAATAAATTTCATCTGACATTTAGAGAATGTCTAATCTCTTTAAAGATATTTTTAAGATTAACTCCTTATGGCTGGACACACTTGCTGCTATAGATAAGGTTAAATTCTAAATCATTATACATTTTTGTTTCAAGATTTTTTATTTTGAATGTGATCTCTTTGAGACAAAAGTTCTTACCTTACTTATTTGGTAAAGGGCTGCGTATATTTATGCTGATACACATATAAAGTTGTTACAAGGGGTTCAAGGCTCACTTTCTTAGTTTTTGTGATAAAGCATTGGATAAATTATCACATGATAAGCAATAGCTGTTAATTATTTTATGTTATTTCAAAGAATGATTGTTAGATTTTTTTACATATAATAAATCTAACTCCGTTGTACTTGAAATTGTTCTCTGACGCCATTTTAAATCTTTAAGAAATATATAGAGACATTTCTCAAAAATTGAAATATATATTTATATTTCTATTTTACCTATCTAGAGCATCAAGAATTTAAGAAACACAATTACAAATTACAAATTTTCTGTTCAAAGCTTTAGTTCATCAGTTTTTTCCAATTACGAATTCTCCCGTGAATAGACTGTGTAGCCTGATCTACAGATTATGTATTAATTATATTAATTACATAAGAATTTCCAGTTATTACTTTGATGGTTGACAGGTTCTTGTCCCAAGATCAGGCCCAGTATTATTTAAATTCTTTTGCCCTCCAGTTCCTCCCCTCATGAACTCCCACTTTCCCTAGTGTCCCAGTCCAGCAAAGCACTATGGTGTGTGTATAACTTTAAGAAAATTTATAGTGCCACTAAAGTCAATAGGACTACACACATGTTTAAAGTCCGTCATGGGCTGAAATGCTTTGCTTGATCAAGGTCTAAATGCCTGCAAGAATAGATGGACTTGGCAGTGTGTCTGGAAGGTTAACAAATCTGGGCTCTGTCAGACCCAGTAGGGCAGCAAATTCTGGAGTTGAGAAACCTATTTGGAGAACATCCTGCTAGCGGTCCCCTCTTGTTTGTATCAAGGAAGCTCCAGATTGACTATCTCCACTGTTGTCAACTGTGGTGGGGTGTCAGGGGAAAGAGGGGTTCTCTCAGGCAAAAGTTAAAATAATTGTGTGAATCAGTTGGCCACCATTGTCCATCTGATATGCTGCGCTATTGTTTGGATGGTTTTTAGCAGTTAGTAGACATTCATTTGCATATGAATGTGTAGATAGTTTCCATTGGTGACTATCAGAATGTAATGCTCTAGGTAGTTTATTGTAGTGTCATCACTGTTTTTTTTTTAATCATATCTGTGATTTCATTTATTTGCTGATGTCTCTATTTTATAGGGTTTTTTACGCATATTCTATTAGATGAAGCTGCGCAGGCCATGGAGTGTGAGACGATCATGCCTCTAGCATTAGCTAATAAAAACACAAGAATCGTCTTGGCTGGAGACCATATGCAAGTAAGAGCCTCAGGACTTTTTCATATCGAGCTCGGTTTATATTATGTTTCCCTCAGAAAATGTATTAAGTTTATCCATCTATATAAGGTACTTCTTCTTCGA